TGTGGGACTTTTTTTAAGGTATCCATTTTTAATGTTATCTTATTTTTAAAATATAATGTTTTTTTTCTTAAAATAAGAAAATATTCTTTTCTCTTAAAATATTAGTTCTTTTTGTGAATTTCTTTTTTTATGTTTGTTAGTTACATATGTAACTTAATTAATTTGTTATGAAATATTTTTTATGCTCTTCCCTTAGAAATCTTTTACTAATTTAATTAAATTGTCATTATTAATTAAATAAATATATTTAATTAATTAATTAACTGTTTCTATTATTAAGATAATTTTTTAAATATATTTTTCTTGATACATTATTGTTATATAATAATTAACTCTCATATTTAAGTTTGAATATCTCTGATAATTGAATTTTTTTAATCTAGATTTGTCTAATTTTTTTACTTTTAATAAAAATTAAAAACTTTTTTGTGAACATTAATTCTAAAAATTTGATTTTCTATAAATGTTTAAAAAAAAGGTACAAATTTTGAAAGATGTTGATTGACAATCAAACTATTGTCCGTATTTTCAAAAGAAATAGATACTGTTATATTAATAAATTCATTGCAATCGTTAATTCTAAACACTAATTTTCAAAATAATTTGTTATGCAAGATTTTTTTATATTAAAATCCCATTATATTTTTATTGTGTATTAATTTTGATATATATGATTTTTTTAAAAATAAATATTATAATTAAATTTTATATGAACCTTTATATTTATTTAAAATTTTTCTTATTTTTGTCAGAATTATTATTATTTCATATTAATTTTTGTTTTTTAGAAGTTATTGTCTACAATGTTCAAAAATAATAAATGATCTATAATGGACCTAAGTTCAGCAACAGGTGGTCGCAGAAGACTCCAGAATACTCATTATGCTGAAGACCAAGCATTTGATCAAATAGCTAAGGAAGTAAGTGTTATATAAAACCATTTTATATATCTTAAAAAGTATACTCTAGAATTTATTACTTGAATATTATAATATTAATATCATTTGATATCCTTAATTAGAAATTTATAAGAATAATCCTAATACTGTTAATATGTAGTCAAAAATTGTAATTTCTTACAAAATATATTCTAAGTTGATGGTACTAGAGCAATAACCAGATGCATTCACTTTATTTTTTAATTCATATCTTTACTTGATTTTATTTATTAGAGACTACTTTATGAATGAATACAATAAAATGTTCATGTCCCAAAGTTTCTGAGGAGTTATAACAAAAATAATTCATCTTTTTAATTTTGTTTTTATGAAAAATAAATTTATTTTATGTGTCTCCTAAATTTTTTTTTAAAGTGAAGGTATTTGGTATTGCACTAATACCTTCATTTGCCTGTTAATTTATTCAATGTAATATAATGATGCGTGTTTTCTAAATATATATAAAATACAATGATCAATTAATCAACTGTTTGTTGACTTTTTTGAACATTTAATGAGACAAGGACACTTTCTGGCAGTACTCTGGTAAAAATAAATAATTCTGTTTCTAAATCTTCTTTTTCCTTGCCTTTATCCTAATTACTTAGGTTTGGCCATTCTTAACCTAAATTTACACTTGACACGATCTTTCACATCATCAACACTCACATCAGCTGTTCTCATATCACATTCAATAATATTCCTCCATCTATTTTTTGGTCTTTCTCTATCCTTTCTTCCTTCAACACTTTCCATAACTATTCTTACAACTTCTGATTCCTCTCTCCTTAAACATGACCAAAATAGGTCAAAAACAAATCTAGGTCTATTTTCTCACATATTATACATGATTTACACTACACCTATACTCCCTCTTACATGTTCGTTCCTTATCCTATCTTCTCTAATCACTCCACTCAACCATCTAAGTATTCTCATCATTGCTTGTATTTAAATAATAATAAAAGTTTAATAAGCAAAAATAAATATTTTTGACAAAGCGTAAAGTTAATTTGCAAATTTCCTGATTGACCTCAGCTTTAGATATAGAGTAGAAACAGGGACGGCTTCCTTCCTATATATTAGTATATTCATAAAATTTTTTGTATGTTTATTTACGAAATTTTGTTTTATTTTACATTATTTGAGGGTTCTAATTGCCCTACGCCATAGCAAGGATTTTTAATGTATAATTCCCAACTCCATTGTTATAAAACTAATTTGATAAACATTTTCTTAATGTGAAATTTGTCCGTCATTAACCTCCCTTAACTGTATCCTTGTACTCAATTATAGAAGCATAAAAAATGTAATGTTAATACAGTACTAAGTAAAAAATATTTAAAAAAATTATGATTCATACGAATGTTTTGGAAAATATTGCATTAATATTAGTTAGGACTGATTGAGACTTTTCATACCTCATGATCATATACAATAGGCATAAATAGTCAACAGTTATTTAGTGTTTTCCTGTGAAAAAAACAAAATAATTAGTTTTAAATTTCTAAATAACAGAATGCAAAAAATTTAAGAATGAGTTAAACGTTCAAATGTCATAAGAAATTTAAAAATTTTTTGAGATATGACTATAAACAAAGTTATAATAATACCACTTTCCAGAATATTATATATCTAAACACCACCTATTTTTTTTCTTGAGTATAAATATTGTTTACTTAAGATGAATTATAATGAAGTGGTTTCTATATTTTAAGTATTCTAGGAATGATGTGTTTGTTTTCATGAAAAATTGTTGTATTAGTTATTTTTATTAAATCATTAGTTGGTTGTAGTATGTGCATTAATATAATTTTAAATTTATAAGCAGTTTATATGCTCTCATTCAATTTACTTTAAGTTTGACTCAAATAAATTATAAATTTAACACTGAAAAAGATAATAATCTCCGTATTAATGTTGATTTAATAAAAATAGTTAATTGACTTTTTATTTTATATAAATTTATTATTATGTTATAATTTTTTCTATTTTCTCATATAAAGGTATAGAAATTGCTTAAATGATTATTTTGTTTTTATTTGTTCTAGTTGGTCAATGTATACAAGTTAAATGTATATTTTTTTGTCATTACATTTTGTATAGTTGGTAAATTTTTATGAAATAACCTTTGTTTATATAAAATAAAAAAGTCCCTAGAATGAATCTTATTATAAACTATTTTTCTAGATTAGGCTTCAATATCAACACTAATTCAACTTGTATTTGAATATACAGTTATGCGGATATGAAATTTATATTTACTGCATAATAAAAAAATTTCATCTCCACTTTGAATTTTTTTTATTCATCACATATTATCTATTTTTTTCGTAAAATTACAGACATTCATTGGGAAAAATATATCTCTCGATGTATTAATATATGTGTGTGTGTGTGTGTGTGTATCTCATTATTGCAATATATGTATTGTAACCGCTACTTGGAATATGAATATAGAAATGCGGTTTAGGTTTATAAAAACGTCATTTAATTCTTGATTTCTAAATTTAAAATTGATTTTGAAATTGTTTTTATATTTTGTATTCATATTTAACAGATCGTTAAAGAGGAATGCTTTACTCATTATATTTATTATTGCATAAAAAAGATTACTACTAAGTATAGTAGTTATAGTGATTAGAGAGTAGAATTTTATGTGTTGTAAGTTATGCATAGTTTATGATCAGTTATTACTTCATTATTATTATTTTTTCTGATTAAAATTAGTATATTAGACCTTTTTTAGTATAATGTTAAAAGTAAGTTAAAAAGTGTTCTTATTTTGTTTTTAATCTTTATAGGAGGCGAACTGCGCCCTAATGCTTATATGAAATTTTTTTTGAATGCATTTTTATCGACGAAGTCTGATTTCTAGAAAAAATCATTAGGGTCTTATTATATTATTTATTTATGTCTAAAAATAGTGTATTTATTTTAAATTGTTTTATACTTTGAAGTAAATACAGAATACAATATTAATATCATGATAATATTTGGGACATAGTAATGTTATACCATTCATTTTTCGTCTCTTTTTACAGCTAAAGTATGCAGATGTCCTATGTCTTTAGAGTTTGCTTCTAAGTATAGAATCATGTGTGCTCAGATATATAATGGTTAGATTGTCATTCCCTTCCTGTTTGGTAGCCTTTTCACGTTTACTATTTAGTGCGGGAGGAGGTTATGACGGACTTTCTTGGTAAATCGCTTTGTTGTTATAATAGTAATTTCTGTTATTGCTACATAGCATTGTCGTCAATATTTTCCGTAGAATTTCATTATATTTAATTTTTTAACGGCTTTGTTTTAAAAATAATAAAAAATTATTATAAAAAGTATATAAAATGTTTAGTAACGTAGTAAACGCTTTACACTATGTGCTCAACTATCAAGATTGGGATGTTTACTTGAGATGGGGTGGTAGGTCTTCAATAAGAACCACAAATCGAAACTATCAGGCTGTCGATTATCATAAAACTTCAATCGGTAGCAAAGTAAGTTTAAGATACATGAATCTTGTAGTTTGTATTGTATAAGGATAAGTGACTTATTGTTGTTGCCTATTTCCTCAAAAACTTATTAGTATTACTGTTTTTGTATTTTTGTTCTTGAACAATCAAGCACATCTTATTACTTATTACTTATTTTTTTAGTGCGTTATGCCTTAAGACTAGGCATAAATTATTCACACACTTTGAATTGTTTTATTTTTCTAATCATTACATATAAGTAATATGTAAGAATTTTAATCAATGAATTATATAATATATTCAATATTTTTAACATCTTATTTCATTTTAGTATTATTTTTTATATAGAGAAGTTTTTTTTTTTATTACCCTCCGGCGGGTGGTGTATACGGCTCAATAAGAATATAAATATGATAGTATTCTGTTTAGATTAATATAATTTGGTGTAGTCGCATAAAATGAGTTCCCCGGGGGCTTGATAAGTTGATACATCAATAGTTTTCGAATTGTTCAAATTATGAAAGAAGCACATGCGCCGTTACCACTGTATTGATAATCACCGCTACAACTACGCAGCGCAACCGGTTCGCCTGGTAGTTGGTATCAGAACACTGTCCGATTAGTCTTTAGTATAAATGTGTCGGCGGAACTGTTCGTCGCTGTGATAGTGCGTTACTCATCCGATCAGTCGAATTAGTCAAATTTGAATTAAGTGTATATCATCTAATAAATTGTGAAAGTGATACTGTCATTTATCATTGTTTTTTAGGAAATATCTACATAAAGATGACTATGGGTTATGCGAATCTGACGTTTGTCAAGTAATATTATCACTCTTTGGCATCTGCTGTCACAAAACTATTAGTTTATTAGAATAGGATTTAATAATTATTGGCTGATTGATAATGTGTTGATATTATTATACATCACTTAGAGGATATATAATAAAAATTGACCAAGATAATAATAATTGGTAGTTATTTTCTAAAAAAATTTAGTTAGTTGATTATCTTTTTTTCTAATTATAAAAATTATAATATATTTATATCATAATTATATTATATATATTATACATATATATTATGATATATTTAGCTAGACACTAAAACCTTTTTAAAGAAATTTTACTTAACAAAAGTTTTTACATTTTTGCGGATCACATAAAATACGAAAAAAGAATTTTTAATAATATTCATTGGAAAAAATGATGTGTCTTAAGGTATATAACTCTCTGCAGTAATTCCAATCAAAATATCTTGCATGCCCAATATACATCGAATCATGGGGTGGTAAGGCAATATTGACCTTGGAATTCACTACATGATTCACGGCACATTTACCCAAGAGGTCTACATACCTAAAAGAATCATTGAATTGAGGATTTAATAGCTTGTAAAACAATAGTTTGCCTATTAATCGTCTCTCCCAGAATAAGGAAAATATTTTAACAGCTAATCTTGATTAGTGATGGTGGTGGTATTTGATAAAAACTGTTTTTTCTAATGTCATATATCAACGAGTATGTCTATTTATTTTTACGCAAAATTATTACGTCAAACAAATAGAACAATAAAGATAAAAAAAATAATAATTGCATATAATTTTTTACTGTGCACTTATATTTGAACATATTTTCATGACGATTATTATTCATTCTTCTAAACAGTACATTATGTATGCGTGTTAAGTATTCAACTGTTTTCAAGTAATTTGTAATAAAGAGTATTTGATATTTGGTATCAAAGTTGTAAGAAAAAACTGTTAACATAACAAGCTTTTTTATGATGAAAGTAAAAATTATTAATGTGTTTGTTTTAATATTTACGGTGCATTTTATTATAATTAGTCTCAATAGGCTTTTAGACATTATTTTTTTTGTAAATTTTGCCTTTGATTAATATTGTAAAACTATCTGAACAATAAATATTACATTAAAAGCAGTTTGATAATATTTGACTCCATTGTGTTATAATTATGACGTTTTACTTGAACCTATAATTTATAATTATCATTAACTTTTTCTGCTGCGTTCGTTTGATGATTTTATGGGCATGGCTTAAAGAATTAAAATTATTTTACAAAACTCAAAACGTTAAATGAAATTTTAGGTGTTCCTTAACTGTTAACCAAAGTAACACATCAAACATTAAGTCTTAACTGTTAGTTTACTGATATAATTAACTGACAAAACATTGGTAACCGCTAAGAATTTATAGAAATTTGTTTGCAAGGATTTCGTATGATTATTTATGTCGAAGATTAAATTTTCCTCAATGTTGAAATCTAAATATGAACTTTGTTTCTTGCTATTATTGTTCGTAATAGTGGTTTGAGCGTCATAGATCATAATTTATCATTTGATATTTATGCATTGTATTTTTAATCATCAAATATATTCGCTGCAAAATATGAGAATAAAATTTGTCAAATAAAAATAGAATTTATTGTCAATTGAAAATTTATATGTGTAAGGGTTGTATATGTATTTTAGTAGAAGTTACGATTTTATAATAGACGACAATGAATTGTTCTTACACATGTTTTTGTAATTTAATTGAAAATATGTAAAATAACTTTGTATATTAAAGATTTAAATGATTCATTTAATTAACCCAATAACAACAAATAGTATATTGTTAGGACCATTAAAAAATATATTTTTTAATTAAATAATAATCAAAGCTATTGTAAGCATCTTTAAGCAAAACCTCGAATCAAATTTGAATGAATGTGTCTCCTTAAAAAAACTTTTCTTTTGTTAAGTAAGCTTTTTTTTTTACGAGCAAAGAAAAGTTCTTTATTTCCAATTTTCATCTTCCATACGATGATATCTGAAGCAATTCGGTCATTACATTCACTTCGATTCTGATGACAATAAGCATTTCATAAAAATGTATAATATATGTATGTATGTATTTTTTAGATTGAAAAGTTCAAGATAATTTTTTTATTTATAAAATGATTGAAGATATGTATATATGATTAAAGTATGTTGTAAATTCAATATTAAAAATTTTTTTCATAATATTTACATCTTATTTGTTAAGATTTGAATTAAATAATATAAGCCCTTTAGTATAAGCTCATATACTACTAGTGCTTGATATTTCAAGTCATAAATTAGGATCCTAATGTTTTTTTAAGGTAATGTTAATAATTAAAAATAGTTTGCCTTTTGTTACAATTTACTCCAAGATAAAGACAGAATTTGTTCATTTATCCCTAAAAAAACTATCCAACTCTCGTTACGTAAATCCAATGTTGTTAAAACTAAAAATTTTAATTTTTTTTCTCATGCGTATAGCACCTAGCGTGTAGGTAATTATTAACTGTACGCCATTCCACTATCAGATTATTATTATTATTGTTAACGACAATGTAGCGACGTTATTTTAGGAATGTCTATTTATCGCAATTCAAAATATTTTGTTCGAGTTTGTTGACCATAGTTATTGTGATAGTGGTGTATTGTTCTCTTTATTGTTAATAATAATTATAATCATATTAAATCTTTTAAACGCCTATTCAAAATAGTTTTGAAAATGAAACCTGCTCCTTGATATACAATAAAAAATTTATTAATTAAATTTTATATATATATAAAGCCATGAAATGATAAAAAGATATGAGTTAGAAATCATAGCTCATTAATCTTTCTAACGCAGATTCATACAGATTTTCCTATAAGAAAATTTGATAAATGATGACGGAAGTTGACGTCATCGATTCTAACATTTCTAGTTAAACCTATTTGTCATAGTAAACGTGTTACGCTAGTAGCCATTAAAAATTAAATATGTGCTTGTTTTGATCAGTTACGGAAAAAAATTTTACACAGAAAAATTTTATTTACTTATTAATTTTTGAAATTTGTTTCAACTTGCGCAAGTTGTATTTTTAACTTAGAGGTGTTCATAATATTAAAAGACAAAATTTAAAATATACTTATTATTTTAACAATATCATATGGAGTTATTATATTTTTTCTTACTAAAAGGCAGGTGAAATCTGCTTGAGATACTAATGTCATCCAATGTGGTGGAAGAATTCCCCTATTCGCGTCTATACTTTAGCTTTTTAATTAGACATAACAATTTGAAATATTTGGATTTACTACTAGAATTAACAAAATAACAAAAAACAAATGATCGAGAATGGAACTAATTTTTTTTTATTCCATAGTCATAATTAAGGGAAAAGTTTGTGCCTCCCTCTTAGTAAAGTGAATAGTTAAAAAAATATTTTTACACCATTTATCAATAAATTTTAAAGGAAGAAAAATTTTACTCTACCTTCAAAATTATTTTAATATTTAAGTTTGAGTTTAATAAACCATATTTAATACAATTAGTAATTATTTTTATTATTTACTAAACATAAAATATTTTGTCTTTATTATATTGTTGACCTAAAATAATTTTTTTTGGTAACTATTAAGGAACGCTTTTAAATACTCTAAACACTATCAACATCCGTTACATACACTTATTTATTGACATGCTATGTGTAAAAATGTCAATGTTAAAAATAATATTTGACTTGAGGTTAATATTTATGTGTGTATGTGTATGTTTACTATTACGTGTTATTTGCCTACTTGAACAACTTGAGTATCCTAATGAATGACGTCATCTACTTCATTTTTCAATGAATTCTGTGATATTCATATATTGTTTTTATATTGTTACATTAATTTATTATTTTTTAAATCTATTATTTAATTAAATGATAAAATGTTTTTCTTTTATTTATTGATTTATTGATTTTTAATCTGCTCCATATTGGAAAAATTAACAAATAGTAGAAAAAAAAACATTATTTTTAACTTAGATTTGTCTAATTCAACATTCATCTTTCCTTATTTATATCGACTAAGATAGGCTAGGCGTGTTATTGATTATTTTTTTTATTAAAGTTTTTGATATACTAATCAATCATACCTTAAAGTATGTGTCAAATTCAGTAGCGTTTCTTGACTATCAGTACAAAGATATGTGGTAATATATATATATATATAAGATTTATTTTGTAAGAATACTTTTAAATGTATTACGTAGTTCAAAGCCGATTTTTATACTACTTGATGTTGGAACATTGACTTTTTATCAGTATAAAATTTATAATTTAAATATTCATAATTATCAATAATATTTAGAAAAAAATATGTGGTCAGTAGGCAAAAGCATAATTTCCCAGATTATTATGAATTTTGGCTAAAATCAATGGCGGATCTGGATATTTTGACTGGAAAAGGCAAATATTTAAGATAATCAATTTTTAATTATAATAAATAAAATAGATTACCATTTTTAGACAATATAGATAAAAAAAGTGGTAACCGTAAATTTATTAGATTGATTTCGCATAATGTCCTCAATAGTATCATTCTTAATTTACTGTAATTTTTCATCTAATATAATGCACAGAAATAAACCTATTTTTATCGTATTAAACATATTTTAAGCTAATCGGTTTTTGTAATAACTTATTGGATAATAGCCGTTTTATTAACGTTACCAACGGAAAATTGACAAGAAGTTTCTACCTCTGTACCTGTTTCCTTGAATCTGCCACTGATCAAAATTTAAACTAATTGTGATTATAATTATTTAATAGTTTATTTACTGTTTATTAATATACGAAATAATATATATGTATTTATTTTAATATAATAATAATATTTTTTGTGCGTGTCTGTATCTTCTCATTAACGGTTTATATTAATTATTATCTCTATTTTAAATAAAAAATTGTAATTAAACAATGTGTATTAACATTAGCTTAGCCAAGAAGGGTTAAAAACTCTATAGCCCCATGGGCCAACCTTAACTATTAACAGTATATTATAAAAGTATACTTTTGCTCTAATAACAAATGTGTAACATTTAAAAATGAAATCAAATGTGTAACAAGTAAAAAAAGTCTTTAGCCCTTCCCTTGAAAACACCATGTGTACCCCACTTGGTAAGCATAATTTTTTTAAGTGAAACCCTGGTAATTTTCATTTTGTAATTCCATATTTAAATTTTCATACGGACCTCACTCATTTTAATTGTAAATTAGTGCATTTAATTAAAGTTCTATTTATAAAATAGCTGAAATTTAAACATATCTCATACAGTTTTTAATTTTTTTTATTAGGGTTGTTGCTGAATATTAGTGTTAATTAATTGCTCTTGGCATATAGCGCATAACCTATTGAAAGATTATAAATTTACATATACGCTGAACTTCAGTGATTGTAGATCCAATTGACACCATAAATGATAGTGGTTTGTTGGTTTCAAATATTCTAGTATACTATTATATTTTTTTACTGATGCACACAATAGAAAATAATTTTCATAACTGATTCATATTATATGGAAAAATTAATAGAGAGAAATTCAAATAAAATATATTTTTTAGTAAACATTTTATAGACTGATATAATTTTCTTTTTTAGAATTTATTTATTAATTTAATATTTTTAAATATTTAATATTAATGAAATAAAATACTAAAATTTTGGTAAATCACTATTATATTAGACTATTATTTTACCAGTGGCGCAATTACTTGATTTTAGCACTACAAAGCTTTAGTCCTCCCTGAATTTTAATATATATAGTTTCAAGTAAGTTTTTTTATTTATAAAAATGTATTGACAGTTTTTTCTTATATTATATTATACTACTATTGTGCAGCAAATAGAATCGTTATTTTGAGTTCATTCCGACATTTCAATTTCAAATTCAAAGTCACCGGTCAATGATAACCGTTAGCTCGGTTATACAGTCATTTATAAACAGTTATAATTAATATAGCTATTATTTATTATAATATCATAAAGTCATCTATATTAATGAGGTTGACTGAGGGATGTGGGTTTTGTGAGCCTTACATAATTTTAGAACCCCCGGATTTTTGTTCTAGTTGTGTACTGTTTTTTATACTTAAATTTTATAAGATAATGATCTTATGTAGGGTAAATTTCTTTTGTAATTTCGTTAATAACTACAGAGTTAGATTAGTAATTAATAATTACTAATCTTTAATACACTCTTAAAAGTATCATGGTTCACTCTTCATTCTTAATATTTACTTGTTGTAATGGTTTATATGACGTACGACTTTGGTTGAAAAGAATTGAAGCAGCTAAAAATAAAACTGTAGACGCAAGTATAAATCTAAAAATATATATTGCCGTTTTTCTTTTCGATGGCTTTACTTTTAAAATCATATTAATGATATTAGTCTGGATTTAAATGATAGTTTTCCAGTAACTTAATTCGATACTATAAATATCACAATTTCTTTTAAATATTCTATATAATATATTAGTTTATATAATGAAAGAGCTATCAACCTTGGATCATTTACATCAATTTTTCTAAGATATTAACTAGCTTAATAATATTTAAGGTTATATATACTAATTGTGACTGCGTAATTTAATTGTTAATTACAGGGCCGGCGAAAGGGCAAAGCCATCAATGCACTTGCCTAGGGTCTCGCTTTTTAAAAAAAACATCATATGCATAAATGATAAGCAAAAAAAATATTTATTTAAAAAAAAAAATTATAAAATGGGTCCCGTGAAAACGCTTTTGTATTACACTCTTGCAGTATCTAGCGCTGGCACTGCTTAATTACAAATTATTCTATTAAAAAAAATACTTCCTCTCAGGTGAAGATTAATACTCAAGTTATGCAGCATTAAAGTAGTATTTTAATTTAAACTAAAGTTTATGAAAAATAGCATGAACGACGATAACCAATGCAATACTGACGTAATAGCTTCGTGCGATCTCGTGTCAAGTGGACATATTACACATATATACATTAATCAAAACATGAACGGCGATTTCGAATCTTTAGACACTAGATTACTTGTCAATATGCCTATACCGCCTTTTATGAATAAAGGATCACAACATACTAAAGGGATATCTAATACTAATGATACTAGTGTTAATATTTTAAACGATTCAAGTGCATTTGATTATACAGAGGATATAAATCAGACATCACAAATAATAATTGATAATGAACGAATGTATTCTTGTCAAATACGTGTAAATGATGAAAGTAGCTCTATTAATACAAATAATGATCAAAATTTGATACTCAAAGAGCTTTCTTATTCATTTTCTGATAAATATGATGAGGACTCTGACAGTAGTAAATACTCACTAGGTGACATTGATGAATTATCAGACAACACTTTATCAATTAGTCAGCAACCAAGTATAATGAGAGCTCGTAGTGACTGCTCCAATTGTGATTATTATTCTGAAGATGATTATGTTTTGACTGATACAGAAGCTGAAGGAATTGTTAATTTTCTGGATAAAAGTAATGATGAAGTATGTATGATTAAGACAACTTAAATTGTCTATGGAATAAGTGAACAACGAAAAGCCTATTTATTCCTTTGGTTAAATTCATATTTAACAATTTATTTCTTTGAAATTCTAAAAGTTATTTATAAAACTCTTGTTGATTGGCAATTTATTATTAATTATTCAACCAATCACTTCTTAGTGTAAAAAAAATATTTTATTATTTAATTATATATTTATCATATATTGACACCTATTAGACAATTGTATTAAATACAATAATTATTTATAGCAATAAAAATATTGAGTAGTTGTTGTTTATTAAATTAATTGTTACAGCATACTTTTCAAATTTTACTATATACAAATAAAATTAATTTGTATTTTTTCCAGGCTGAAGCACGATTGGCTGCTAGACGACAAGCACGCGTGGAAGCAAGAGAAATTCGCATGCGTGAAATTGAAAGGCAACAAAAGGAAGCTGAAGAAAATGCAGATAAGGCTTTTGATATGTCTACTGCAGGCAAGTCCTTACTATTGTTGAAGTTATAGTTAAAACATTTATAATTTTTTGAACTAATATTGTTTTTAAATAATTATTTAAAAATAGACAAAACCATTTATTTGTTTTATTAAGAATATTTACAGATTAATCTATGTTTTCTACAGGTCTGAGGATGTAATTATACTGTCAAACAGTTTAGTTATAACCTCGAGCCTGTAACTATCGTTTTGAAAATAGTTTTCTTTAAAACATTTTGAAGAATGTTTTAACAAAACATCAGCATAAGACTGGAAGGCATGAATATATTTGTATATATTCTAAATATTACAACAATCTATAAAAGCTTTAACTTAACACATTCATATTTATTAGCTTCAATACGAAGTTGAGAATTTTACTATGTTTATTTTTTATTTTTTTTTCTGTCTTACCACTTTTTCTGAGCTCTCACCGTACCGATTTCTTTTAATGATACTTCCAAAGATCACAAATTGTATCTAGTCGAAGACATTACCCTCAAAAAAATTTCCCTTGTTCAAAATGACAACTTTTGAAAGTGTTCCGGAAATACTCACTTATATATATATATATATATATATCTTAAATTAAAACTAATGTAATATACTTTATTTTAAAAAAAATGTCGGACTTTATTTTGTTTTCATGATGAAAACAGACATCAAAGTTAATCAAAAAAAAAAGTACAATTTATGTAAAAAAAATTTTTTTATATTTTTAACTTTATAATTCTATACCTTTTTTAAAAATGTATGGATCAATACAATTTTTTATGATAAATACTATTTATATACTTCTTTCATTCGACATACTTTTTTTTAAATTGGTCTATTTTCCTTTATACAGGGGGGGTTCAAATCTGCATATAGAAAATAAAACTTATTCAACATAATTTTTGAAAGTGTTCCAGAGATACTGAAACTTATATATACAGGGTGTTAAGTAAGTCAGGAAACGGGTTTCTATTGTTCTCATTGTTACAAACAATGAGAACAATAGAAACCCGTTTCCTGACTTACTGAACACTCTGTATATATATTATATTAAAGCTTATGTAATATACTTTAATATTAAAAAAAAATTTCTGACTTTATTTTGTTTTCATGGTGAAAACTGACATCAAAATTAATAAAAAAAAAATACGATTTTTGTAAAAAATTAAAATATTAAAATATTAAATTATTAAATTTTAATTTCATACTATATTTAATTGCTTTACTAAATATTTATTCATATATTACACTTAAAAATCATAAAATTTGTCATCAGGATATAATTAAGGAAATAGGAGATCATGTTATGTTGCTTTTGGAATAATCCACCAATTTTTTAAAATTAAACACTACAGATTTGCATTGAAGCGTTGTTTCTTATGATAGTGATTTTTATCATTGTCAGATTAAATCTATACTGGACCCAACTATGTTACGTCCCCACTGTGCTGGGTTTTTGTTTATTAATATTGTGTTTGATTTTTTAACTGGATTTGAACAGTTTAACACTACTAAAATTAGATGATGGACAGAAATTATTAACAATTGTTTGGGGCTCATTTTTAATTTCTCCCTCCTAAAAAATATGTTTACATTACATAAAACTTTCTATATTTTTTGGGAAGGATTTAGTTCCAAAGTTCCTCAACTCCATCAGTTAATTAGGATTATTTATTTTGGATTGTATATTTATGGCAGTCTTCGACTCTCATCTTTAAAATTTATTTATATTATTATACAAAACTATTTTTTAGAATAGGGTAAAATTAATTATCCACCAAAAATTCAATTAAACAAAAAAGAATTTTAATTTAAATTTATGAATTCCATACTTGTTAATGGTAGTATATTTGAAAATAATGGAAAAAAATTTAACTTAAAGTCTCTCAATATTTGTATTTTAAAATACACCCAGATAAGTATATTAATTTTTTTTAGATGGAGTAAATATTAATCGAATATCCCGTGTCACGGCTGGTATAACAAGCAGTCCTCGAATTCCTGGTTCCATTACAAATAGTTACCAATCTAGTCGACGTAATTCAATTGACTCTCTTGATGAGTCCACCCCTAACTTTCGTGATTACAGAGTAAACAATAATTTAAAAAAATTTAATTTAATCATTTAAATTCAATTCAATAATTGATTTTTAAAGATGGAATTAAAAGACCTTGAAGAAAAATTCCGAAAAGCTATGGTACAAAATGCTCAACTTGATAATGAAAAAGCAGCTGCTACCTACATGGTAGAATTATATAAAGATAAGTATACAGATATTGAAGAAGAATTAATGCATATAAAGGTAAGTTAACAGACTATAACTTTATTATTATGTCAAAATATAATTTCTAATTTTTAATGGGTATTTCTTAGAGAGAATACAAAGAAAGTTGTAGAGATAATGAAAAATTAAAACGTCTACTATCTGCTCAAAGAATTGAAGCAAATGCTCTTCAACAGGAACTGCAAGAACGTGATACACTTATTGAAGTATTTTTACTAAAATTATTATTTTTATATAAATCATAAATGTTTAGTTACAATTTTTATTGTTTTAGGAAAAAGGCTTAGTGATAGTTAGTACTGAGCAAGATGAGTGGAGTGAAAGTGAACAATGTAATAAAGTTACAATTAGACGAGCTTTAGTATCTATGGAAAATGCTCAATTATTACAAGGTGCTGGAGAAGGTTGTCTAGGTAATATTCAGTATATTTACTTAACTATAAAAAATTATACTTGCGCGTCTATAACACATTGATTTGAAATCATTTTTTATTTAGCAGTAATCATCATTTTTAATTTATCTTTTGAAGAATATTATTTGTAAACCATAAATTACTTTAGGTTAGATAAAATTTAAATTGTTTAATAATTATTAATAAATAAATATTTCTTATTTCTAGTATTTTATTTACATGACAATATTAGTTAATACTAGGAAATTTTTTATTATATTAATAAGCGTGTTTTTTTTTTTAATTTTATCTTTGTTTATTTTATTTATATTAATATTAATTAAATCATATATTAAAAAAAAATTTTAGATGTGCGACTTAAAAAATTTGCTGATGAGCGTGCTGGCTTTTTAGAAGAGATCAGTAGACTTAAATTAGAATTACAAGAAGCAAAACACTTTAGTGATATTCAATGTAATGGTACAGATTCAGATGATTTGGAAGATACTCAAAGTAAGTCACACCACTAAATCTTTTAACCTCTTTAAAAAGTTATAAATTAATAGAATGTTCATAATTTGTAAATTGAGTTAGGTTATCAGAATTTATTAATAAATTAAATAAATATATATTACAGTCAAAACTAAATAAGAAATATATTCCTATTTAAATATGTGGTAATTATATTATTAAATTATGATCTAACTCAAATAAATATATTTAATATCAAAGTAGCTTTCATTATAATAACATGTCAAAATATAATGCGAATATTTTTCTGTAATAGTCTTTAGCCTTAGTAATAATTATTTAATTTATGTGTATTCAGAAGTTAATGTAATCTTTTTCAGAAGAAACAAATAAAGTACTTGGAGATTATAAGTTTAAATGGCAAAAAGCTGAACAAGATATTTCAACATTGCAAGCAAATGTAATTATTTTTAAATAATTTTTTTGTTAATTTATATGGCAAAATCTAACAATATTTTGAATAATTCATCAGGTTGCCAGACTAGATAGTCAAGTTATTAGATATAAAACTGCTGCTGAAGCAGCTGAAAAAGCTGAAGATGAGCTAAAATTAGAAAAACGAAAAATGCAACGTGAGGTATGTATTTACTTTTTATTCAGATGAATCTAATGTTTTTTAAGAGTTCATAAATCATTATAAAACAAATTTTTAATAAAACCTACTATGGTAGGCATTTTTAGTTGTTCAGCTGTTTCTAAATTTATTTTATATTTTTTTACTTTTATTAACTACAGTTGATAGAATTTTAAAGGGTAAAGAAGGCCAAATAGTTTTCTGTAAATTATAGAACATAGAATACTATTAACTTCTGAAGAGAAAAACTTATATTATGTTTTATATGTGTAAGATATCGCATAAGTCATAGTTAAATAATCACTCTGTATATTTTTTTATTTTTCTTATCATATTTCTGTTGCTTTCAATATCTAGGTTACTATTATTAAAAACTTACTAAGTAACATTTATAAATATTTATGTTATGAGCGTTAAAACATTTTTTTTTTTTAACGCTTTATAAGCTCATTAAGAGCCATAGCGGATTCCCCAAATGAGAAGGTTTCTAAACCATTGATACTCCGGGACGGGTGGTTAGTCTGAAGCCGGAGAGGGATGGTGACTCCAATTACCAAACTGATCTCTTGTTCGACAAATGAAGCCGCCTGTGACCTAGTTTCGAACCTGAGACAGTGCACTCAAGCACTGCCACATTACAGACTCGGCCACATCATTCCTTTTAAATTTAAACATTTAAAAAAATAAACTTTCAATAATTAAATAAATTATATATGTATTTTCAGCTTCGTGAAGCTCAAGCTAAAGTTGAAGAACTTGAAACATCTAATATGCATTTGTTAAAACGTTTTGATAAGTTGAAAAATGCTAAATCCAGTTTATTAAAAGATTTGTAAGACTGGTTAATTGACACTATGGACAAACTTTTAAATGTGTAGCTATGTTTATAATGAAAATAATTGCAAAGGAATAACATAGAAAATGTTCATAAAATAAAATTTTTGAGAATAAAGAAAAAACATTTGTTTAAACAGTTTAAACAACTTAAGACAAGCATTTGTTTAAACAGTTTAAACAACTTAAGTCAAGCATTTGTTTTCTATGTTTATTCCTATTTTGTTCAGAAATTGATTAAATTACTTCATCAATCTACAATTTGTATTAACTACATTATCCACAAAACAATAAAATATATTTTCTGTACCATTTAAATGTCAATTTTTGTATTGCAATTAAGTTATTTCATATTCTATATTTATAATTCTTTTTAGGGACTTAATGTAGCATAGTATATAACAAGTGCAATAATTATAATCTGTATTATTTAAATATTTAGATTTATAATATAACTATCAAATAATTACATATAAAATATTACACATTATATTTGAGAAATAATTTCAATTATTAATAGTTTTTAATGTTATTTTAAAATCATACTGTCTGTCTGTTATGATTAATTTTACATCTTAGATAAAATTTAGCTAAAAATCATTTATATAATTTCACTAATAAAAGATATTATAAATTATGTTTTAATGATAAATGAGTCAAATAAACCTTAATAATTATATCTACTAATGTTTAATTTGGCAAATGTTATTAAATTACTTCAATTTAGTACATAAGCCTGTCATTATTTATCAATGGAGTTGTTTGACTATACTAATAACTAATGTAAATATATATATTAGTGTAAATAAATTTTTGTCATCCTACAAAACAGACTTAACAACTATAATACTTTTAAAGTATTCCTTTATATAATGTTCTGTGCCTTATAAATAATAATAAACTAAAACAATATACTATTACTAAGTATTAATTACAAAAATAAAAAAATATATTTGTGTATTCATTTGTAGATAAAATAAATTTAACTTTTTTTTTCATTTTGTATACATATTTTTCTTTGTGCTTTTGTAATCTATAAATTAATTTATATAAAACAAATTTCTTCTCTTATAATGTTGGTATATAAATGTATTTATTTATTATTTATTTCTAAATTGTATTCAAATTTGAATATTTATTTATTTGTTTAAAAAATAATAAAATAATTTAATTAATAACCACGTTTAAAAATTTTTTAAATAATAAGAAATTTTTAAAAATTTTTTGAAGCCCTGTTGTAATATTTTTTTACAAGGATAGAACTATTTTATAAAGCTTTTATCAGATTACTAATTTTAATAAACTTGTCTATGATTATTTTTCTGATGCTCAGACTTCTGATCAGGTGATTAATGCATTTAAATAGCAATTAGCTGCAATTCGTACTCATTACAGCCATTAATAGCTTTCATAGTTATCCATAAAGGGCATATTTTAGTATAAAAGTATTTTTAAAACTGATTGAAAAATACATGTGTCATACAAGTAAAATCTATTGCTTTTCCTCTTTTATGAACTTTTTTTTTTATAACACTAATGTTTTTAGAGAGTCATTAACTTAACTTCTACCATTTATTAGTTGAATAAAAAAAATCAGAAATTTTTGAAGTATAGTATTACAAATAAAACACACACTGGAAATGATTTAATATATTTTTTTGAAACAATTATTCTATAATGTATACATATATTTATTGAAGTTTTAGTAAATTTTATTATAAAAGGAAGAGAAATTAGAAATATTTACAATATTTACAAAGTCTATTCACATTTTACAAGTATCATTTCATTTTTATGATCATTATTGTTTTGCACATAATTATTTATATATAAATAATGATAAAAATATACAACATAAACAACAGTTAAGCTTAGTCTAACAATTCATAATTAGGTTAAAAAAATTATTAAATCTATTCAATGAAATTCTTTTAACTTATCTAAAACAAAAATGAAAAACATACACATTTGTTTTCACATGTTATGAATTAAAAATATACTTTACTGTAACATAAATAATAATCATCTTTTCAGCTTTAATGATTACAATATGACCTAGATAAACTGTTACACATGTATATTTACAAGTATACATTTTTCAGTGAATTAAACTATGCATGATATAACCATACACACTTCTGAACACATAAGTATACTGTCAAAAAATTTCACTGAGAAAAGTCAGGACTCAAGTCAAATTATGTCCCTATTAATAGTACCCTGATGAATGAATGCTATAACTTTAAAATTTATGGAACATTAGCCACATAAATGCTTATAAAGGCAAAAGATTTATTAAAAATATATCAATATTCAATTTTTTTTTTATGTAAAAAATATTAATTTATTAATATAACAATAATACATCAGTAGTGACTTGAATAATATCCAACAACCATTATCTGTTAAGGAATTTAATCTTACAACAGTTCTAGGCTCAAAATTACCTTCTATTATAAACAAAATATTTAACCTTGACTGTTAAAAATAATATATAACTTTTAATTTGAAGGAGTTCAATTTACAATCACGTTAGAATTTTAATAATAATCCAGTTCACAGAACAGAACATCTATACAAAAATAATTATAATGAATTATTTTTTTTGTCAATTAAGTTAAATGTACAAAGTCAAATGTCAATAAGAAAAACATAAATAATTACCAATGTATACAATGTTATTATACATTATAACTGAGTAACATTGAAGTAAAGAAACAATTAAACTTAAGTATATTACAAATAACAAAATATTATAATGATTAAAAACCAATGATGGTGTCAGAAATACTATTTAAAATTACCTAAAAACGCCCAGTAGGAGGTAAGAATGAGTTCACACAGGAATTAAACTCATTGTTAATAGGTGGAGTGAAATCTTCTGGAACATCAAGGGTTGTACTCGTTACCTAAAGTACAAAATGTATACATATGTATTTAAATTAATACCAATTTTTTATAAAAAATGCTATATTAAAATACTTTTTTTAATAAAATTATAGCCAGTTATAAAAATAACAAAATTTATGAATTAAATTTATTTTAAATGGTTAAAATAGCTGACTAATAATTTTGCATAAATTGCTTCAGACTTGAATGATGCAAGTCTGATATTAATATATACAACAAATATATCTTTTAAATTAAATATTAAGTTGAAACAATAATTTTGTTGTCAGTTATAATAATACTACAATTTATATATTAAATATATTTTAAAAGGTTAAAATAACTGACTAATTATTTTGCATGAATTGCTTCCGACATTGAAAAATACAAGTCGGATATTAGTACATGCGACAATAAAAACTTTTATAAAGGTAAAGTAGGTATTGAACTATAGATAGAATTCAGCTCAGGAACATAGCTGAACCAAAACTTGAAAATGTTCATCAATAAAAAATCATTTTTTTTTCTGAACATATTGTAGAGCAATAAATACAATTTGTTTTTTAATTTAGATGTCTAAAACATTACTATAAGCCAACATTAGAGTTACCAGGTGGGTTTGTAAAGTAATCCCTTTTTCAATTTCAAAAAATATATTTTTAATATCAAACACACATAAGTGATAATTTATCAACAACTTATTAGATATCAACTACATAGCTACTTGTGCCAAAAAATTTTGCATTTGGAATTAAAGTAACAATACTAACTGTTAGTTACATCTATTAAAATTTTCAAATATGTAAAAATAAAAGACAATAGAAAAAACTAGATGTTTAATATTGCATGTATTGCTTCCAAAAATCAAAGATGACTTTTAGATATTAGTTCATGCTATTATAGCTGAGCTCTAAAATACCGTATAAAATAATTATTATCAATTAAAATAACAAAAATATTAGAATTGTTTAATGTGTATAAATTTAAGCAGATTAAGAGTTACAATGGAGTAATTATCATAATAAAATATAATTAAAATTAAAATAAGGGAATAATAAAATTATTTAATCTTTTTATTTTAAGCCTCTAATTTACAAAACAGACTTGTGTTTCAAAAAAATATGATAACATATTTAATGTGTGAAGTTAATACCTCATAAATCTCTGCATTACTGTCCTTTGTATTTTCTTTGTCATTATTCACCACCTTTGACTCATTATTAGTATTACTAACAGTTGCTGCTAATGAAGTATCTATTTCAGCATCATTAGAATTAATATTTTCAGAATTTGGTTTTATCGATTCTGCAGGATTATTTTCGTTGTTTTGCTGGTCAATATTAACTCTAAAATGTAAATTCAAAAGAAAATTTAAATGTAAAAAATTATTCATGCTTACATTTGAAAGATATTATTACTCATATAAATCAGTTTCCACATCTGTAAACTAGAGTTAATTATTAAAATTTTGTTTAAATATGACCATTTTATAAATGCTTATTTGATAAATATTTTAAAATTAATATTATCTAATAATAAAAAAAAAAAAAAGTAAACTTATAATAATTTTCTACTGGAATACAGATATTAATTTAGGTAATCATTGTTTCTAAAGTGTAAAATTAATTATTATTATGTTAATTTGTACAAACCCTAGATTTGTTTCTCCTGCTTCATTATTCTTAGGCTGGTTTTCTCGTACTCTTTGATCTCGTTTTCTTTTCTTGCTCCATAATTCATGACAGTCCTGCCACGTAGGTAAGGCTTCCACAACATCCATTCTATTTTTTTTTCAAATAATTAAAATAAAGAAGTTATTTTAATTTTTTTAATAGTACCTTTATACATAATTTACTTTTAAAGTTAGAGTAAACAAAATTTATTTTATTATTTTTCTGAATTTCTATTTAACCTAAAGTTGAAATAATTTCAAAATTATCATTTTATTTCTTAATAGGCTAAAAAAAATTATTTGTTGCAATAAGAAAGCTAGAATATATTACATTAGAATAGTTATTTCGTACTTGTACGTAGTAACCCAATATGAGTTACTACAGCATATTAATCACATCTCATAGCTAAATTACTTCAATTTTTTTTTTTAGAAAGTATTAATGTGAACATTATTTGACTTTTTAAAAAATAATTTTTTTATTGTTTTGAGAAATATGATTAATACTAGAGGCACAACTATTAGGTAAAACTTCTAAAAATTTAGAAAACTATATTTACTGATACATAAAAATATTTTATAAGGTGAAAATTAATTTTTCAATAAATATAGGGCTGCCGCTAGAAATGTATTTTAAAATAGAGGTAATGTACTAAAAACAAAAAAAAGAAACTGTTTATAAAATAGTTTATTAACATCATTTTAAGTACAATTTGTTGATATAGAGTAAATAAAGTTAATATCATTATAAGGCATAAGGGATAAAACTAAAATATTTAATCACTTATAAATGGAAGAATAAAAAGTACTATACTAAACAAAAAAAAATTCCTTAAAATTATTATTATTTTAAAAAATCTAGGGGTTAACGACAAATTAATCAAACCTGTATAACACAAACTCAGAGTGAATAATAAAGATATGAATAATCCAATAACATTTGATACAATTATAATTTTGTGGAAATTATTTTTAAAAATAATTATTTCATTTTCAGACTATGTTCAAAGCACATTTTTTATAATTTATTACCAATAAGAAAAAAGCTAGCAGAGTGGGTATGATAGTAATTAAATAAAATCACTATCATAAAAAAAGCTTCGATACATATTTGTAGATAGTGTTTAACTTTCAGAGAATTATTGAATTATTCCTAAATTATTAATCCTCATCTCCTTAATTATATCCTGATTACTAGTTTTATAATTTATAAGTACATACATGAACAAACACTTACTATGGTAATTAAGTTAAAATTTGAAGTACAGATATTTTCTGAATATTTTCAAAAGTTAAGTAGAAAAAATTCTACTGTTTATATGTATATTTAAAGTTATGAACCCAACCTCCCTTGTATAAGGAAAAAAATTTTGATTTTTAAAAAAAGGATTTTTATAAAAATATACAAAACATATATTAAAGCTTTTTTGGTTAGCTAGACTTGGTCTAGTTTAAGTTGGTCTCTGAATCAAAGAAATATTGAACTATAAATTGTAATGAGTTATTTGCAATTATAATATTTATTATAAAATAAAAAAAAGCCAAAAAGTTTTTATTATTGTAGAAAAATTTTATTACCTATACTTAAATTGAATGAACTAAGGTAAGAATTACTATAAACTAAGAAACCAAATAAATTTTTCTAATAAACTAATATAAAAATCAATACTAACTTTTCTGGTTGAACATTTTTGAGCCAATTACATTTTAATGCTTTATCAGCAGTTATTCTTTTGCTAGGGTCTAATTCCAACATACTATCTAGTAAATCTAAAGCTCCATCATTCATAAATGTAAACTCCTCACGAATTCGTCGACGATAAACTTTTTTAGCTTTCAAAGAATGCCAAAATGGTAAATTAATAACAGTAGGCCAAACAGCTGGGGTTGGACTTCCACATAATCGTGATATTGTTTCTAATTGCATCATTTCTTCATTAGCCTAATAAAAAATTTTGTTGTTATCATCAAGAATGATAAAATAAATTTTTTTACATACTTGAAACAAAGGCCTTTTCAAAAACAATTCCCCTAGAATACATCCACAAGACCAAACATCAATTGATGTACCATATCTTTCTTCACCAAGTAATAGTTCAGGGGGTCGATACCATAAAGTAATAACTTTATTAGTATATGGACGTTGTCTATCTTGAGCATTGTATAACCTTGCTAAACCAAAATCAGCAAGTTTAACCTCACCCCTGAAAAAATGAAACAAACATTTGATATAGTATTGGCACAATCTTTTTATTATTTATACAGTATTAAAATTTATCTACTTATTATTCATTAAAATGTTACTGCACTTAATGTCTCTATGTAAAAAATTTCTACGATGACAGTAATTTAGACCTTCTAGTAACTGTCGCATAATGCTAGCATTGTGTGTTTCATTGAAATTTACCATTCCTGATTCCAATAAACCCATTAAATCATGGTCCATATATTCAAACACTAAATAAAATGAACCTCGATCCTGAATTAAAAAAATATTAATAATCTCAATTTCAGTTTTTATTAAATATTATACTTTTTTAAAATCAAGTGCATCTTGTTTATCAGTAACAATTTCTCTAAGATTCACTATATTTTTATGATTTAATTGACGTAGAATTTTGATTTCACGGACAGCTGTAATTGGGAAACCTTCTTTTTCATTTTCTAAGCGAACTTTTTTGAGAGCAACAAAAACCCCTAAAATAAATATTTTATAACATAAGTTTCAGTAAAAATTAGATTAGATTAATTAGACATTTTTATATTTTTTAAACATAAATAGAATTAAACACAAAACTTTTGTTAGAATACTCAAATTAATGACCAGTTTTACATCATTCTATTTCCCGAACTTAACATATTACAGAGGGTGGCCCTCTTTTACATGTTAGGAAGTGTTTAAGATGATTTTTGGCTAGACCACTAATGTACAGGATAGTTATTATGGCCAGCTTGCACCAGAGACTAGACACTAATTATGAGAAAAACACAAAAAAAAATCCCGTTGGAACTATGGGAACAGAACCTTCACTAAAGACGTTTCTACTCTTTAGATGAAATCAAAACCCCTAAAATACTCAAATTAATACATTTGTAAATATAATAGCACCCATACCTAATTTTTAATCTAAAAATAATATATTTTAGTTGTATAAGAAGTGAAGAAGAAATAATATTTTATTATTATAACAATAATTCAAAGTTGAAAAACTCTTTAAATAACCAACAAATTATAATTTTAATTTTCAAAATAGTAATTTTATATAATGTTTAGTAAGTAAAGAAACAAGTTTCTGCTGTTTTCATTGTTTGTAACAAGCGACCTGTTTTCTAACTTATTGAACATCTATAGATTAGATTGATACCAAGAATTCTTATTAAGTTCAATCATTACACTTCTGCAGTGGTTGAAGTTTGTTAAGATTATTTTGTACCACTCTACTATTTACAATATGTTATTTTATTACTTAATATTTATATTTATTAAATATACAATATTTTATTAAAGTTTTGATAACTGAATATTTTTTTAAAATATCATTAAGTATTTAATGGTGACTTTCATACTAATTGGTTAGACATTTCTATTATACCTGTAGTTTTATCTTTAGCCTTATAAACTTGCCCATAAGTTCCTTCACCAATTTGATTTATTACTTCAAACATGTCAACACATTGTTCACCCCAATCGATAGGACTATTTGCAGCAGCAGATTTAGTACCTTTTCTTCGATGTAACACTTTAGGTCGTTTTATTTTGATATTTGGGTCAATGGGTCGAATCGGACGGTCTGCGTTTGAAGTAAATGAAAAACTTTGTGGAAATCCTGTACCTAATCCTAGCATGATAGATCTCTTAACAGCATTCTGTTGAAAGCCTGGTAATGGATGAGAATCTGTTATTGTTTCTGTTGATAATGTTACATTTCTATCATCTTTAGATTCGGGAATAGATCCTAATGAATAATAAAATAAACATTAATAAAGATAATGATTATTATATAAATGTTAAGAGCTTATTACCAGGGGGTAATGGTAAATCTTTAATACTTTTCTTAGAGTATTTGAGTTCAGAATCTGGAGATATGTGATTTTGTACAACAATTGGGGGCATTGGCATTTTTAATACATCAAAATTGTCATTTTGAATTGTTTTTTTTTCGTTAGGAGACAATTTAGGAGACTCTAATAAGGTCGACTCAGAAAAATATTCTGTTCCGTTTTCTACATGGTTTAATGTAGGACCAATATCATTTTTACTTGAAATATTTGGTATGATATCTGATATTGGAATATTATTTGCTTTCATTGTACACATGTCAGACTCAGAATTATTATGTTTTTTTATATTTTCTGATCCATCAAATTTTGTAGAAGAATCAATATCATCATTTCCATTATTTGTATGTGGTTTTAAATTGGAACTGTTGATTTTAGCTTCAATAATAATATTTTGTTCGGGGTCTGAGTCATCCTGAATTTCAACTACTTCATGATCATCATTATTTTTGTTACCCATTTGAGTTAAACATTTCATAGCTATTTCACGCATTTTTCGGTCTTTAACCAGTTCAGCAAAAAGACTTGTTTCACTCATTTTAATCTTAGGTTTTAATTGTTTTGTAGGACTTTTAGTAGGTCTTTTTCTTTTGGCTGTAGAAGAATAACTTCCAGGTGAGTCACTATCAGAGTGTCTATTTTTTGTTTCTTTTGTTGGAGTATGTGAACCACTTCGACTATAAACATTTTTAGAAGGTGATCGAGAGTACTTCGAACAAGGGCGTTTAGTACATTTCCTTGATGATCGAGATCTATGAGGGGAAGTTGCAGAAGAATTATGATGTGGGGATAACATAGATGTGTATGACATGTGCTTTGATGATTTTAAATAAGTATGTGATGGAGATTTTAAGGCCCGTTTTGGAGAATGATAATCATTATGTTCGTGTCTCAAAATGTTAGGTGAATTTGATCGAGACCTAGACAACCTTAAGTTTCTTGAATGTTCATAATGTTTTCTGTCTCTAATTGGACTTCTTGACAACCTTAAACAAATAATAGTTAACAAATATCAATATAAATTATTTATTTAACTTTATTTAAATCAATGTTTTAGCTACGATGCGAAGCTGAAAAGGTATAATTTTACTATGATGTATTTTTTTTATATCAATTAAATATTATACAAATATAAATTACAATATTCAGTAATAATATGTTTTAATTTAAATAAATTTACTAGATGAGATTATTAATTGTGAGTTAACCTAGATATAAAATAATCTAAGCGTCCTTATGTTTTATTCCATAATAAACTATAAATTTATCAAATTTTTTAAAGGGAATGACTAAGAATATGAACATATATTTTCTGGGGATGAAAGACTAATGGCCTTGTATTCATTATATCTAAAGATGAATCATACAAAGATTGTCAGTAAAACTTTAAGATATCATACAAAAAAATTACTAGTATCATGAATATTATTTATTATATTAAGTAAACAGTGAACCCTAAAAATAATTCCAAAGAATAAAATTTTATAAAAAATCATTAAAAATATAAATTTTAACTGTATTATGTTATCTGATTTATTTTATATTCAGGCAACACAATGGTAACCACACATTTGCACTATCAATATAAAAGTATGAATTTGAATAAATGACATTTTAAAATAAATGATTTCATAGTTTTGAATAAAATAGTAATTTTAAAATAGTGTTCTTATTATGTTGATAGCACAATATTTATAACAATATATAAATACTTATATCCCTTCTAGTTACAGCAATAACTATAAAACAATTGTGTACAATTTCAAAAACATAAAAAAAAATAGCTCAAATAGAAACTGAAATCAATTAATACTATAATCTCAGTGCAGACAATAATATGTAAATGCCATAATTTGAATAATTATAGTACATTTTTTAGTGATGAACATTTCAGTTAAAAATTATTTAAATAATACTGGATTTAAATAAAAATCTTTACTATAACTATGACCTATTAAAAACTTCTCAAATAAGTAGTCTCTAAACGTTGAAAAATTTGGGAAGAACATTAGGCTCTTGCAAGAAAAAAAGATAGCACTTCAATTATTAAATTTATTTTTCACTAAAGAAATAGAGCTGCCTCAGATAGAGCCTCAAAGTAACAGTGCTTATTAGGTAATGTGTTACCAATAATGTTACACTGTAAACATTTATTATTATTATTATTATCATCATATTTTAATTATTAATGAATTGTTATAATGTAAAATTAATGTAATAATAATACAAATTATTATTATGTAACAATTAAACACCTGCATTTTTATACTTTTAAGCTTTATCACGTAATGTTTACGTTTTGAATGTACTAAGAATTTTTATAACTTACCTATGACTATGACCAGGTGATCTATCTTTATCAGATTTTTTCTTTCGAGTTCTACTTCTACCATATTTATCATGAGATTTGTTTTTACTGGATTTTAATCCATCACTATCACATCTTTCACTATAATCGTCCATATGTCTTATATGATCACTAAAATTATAATATTATATATTATTATTAATTAGAGAATTTGAAAAATATTTCCCGAATTACAAACCGGCTATAATGTTTTGAAATGCTTTGCGAACTATAATTAAATCGACCATCTGGAGGTTCTGGAGTATGGCTATATTCTTTTCTTATTTCTAAATTTAACAATGGTGGGCTCTTCATCCAACTTAAATATAAAAAAAAAAGTTTTATTTTATATTTAATACGTATAAAAAAATATTAATAATTATAATTTCCAATGCCAAACCATATTTAAATGAATACCAAAGTTATTTGTTTATTTATAAATATTTTTGTTAACATAAGCCTGACAGATAAAGTGTTACCTTTTGTCTTCTTTTCTAAGACGCTTGATATGTTTTTCATCTTCACTGTATGATGGTTCAATTTTGGAAACAGATAAATGAGCTGTTGTTACTAATGGTGGAGTATGTGATTCATCATCAGGGGTTTGTGCAGTGCTATTGGGTTCAACTAAAGTATCCCCATTACTTTTAGAAATATTTATTGGTAACAAATCAGAAAACTTTACCAACCTACTGTCATCATAATTAGATGAATCAGGAATTTCTTTTGACTCTCTCTTTTTCTTTTTTTTTTTTGTACTTGGACTATTTGACTTTTTATGTACTTTTTTACTTTTTTTATGTTTTACTCTTCTCTGTTTAGGAGATATTGAATCCACGATACCATTACTTAATGTCAAGTTAGTTGAAGTAGATGATTCATCAGGTAAAGAATCCTGTTCCCATTGATTATTTAATGGAGAAGCAATTTGTAGTAGTGATCGAGAAGAGTTCACATTAGATAATTGAACATCATGAGCAACAAAATTATTTTCAGGTTTAAACCTATGTGAAGCTAAAACTTCTTCAATATCACTATTTATTTCTCCAGCTTCAGGGCTGCTAAGTTCTTCTGAACTAACATCAGAATACTCAACTAAGGGTTTATTTGAGGAAGATCCACGTTTTTTGTGCTCTTTATGTTTGCGTTTACTTTTTTTCTCTCTAGTTTTTTGATTTGATTTGCTTTTACTAGACGTAGTGCGTTTAATTTCCAGTGCTGGGGGCATATCTTATCATTCCCAGTTATAAGTTTACTCTAATTTAAGAACATTTTTTTTTTTTTACTAAATTAAAATATTTTTTCCAATACAAATAAATTTAACTTAAATAAATAAATTCAAATGAACAACAACAAAAGATGATCTACTAATTATATTTAAAGTTTTCTAATTTGTTCTATCATAGTTCCATATGATGACTTTTGACAAATTACTTACAGCCTCTAAAATCCTAATTCTTGCATTGCTTTGATGAATTATAATAAATAATATAGGGATCTGAAAAAATTACAACAAAATAAATAGAAAAAAATAAAATAGAAATTTAAAGTAACAAAACTCAATAGACTAAAAATTAAAATGTGTGATCTTTGCAGAATTATTATAATAAAATGTATATCCTGAAGCAAGTAAAGATTAATGAAGTATAACATTTCAAACATAGCAATAATTTTAAGAAAATCAAAAAAATTTTTACCCCTTAAACAAAAAAAAATACAGATTTACGTCCTGGTAATGACAGAATTGTAGGAAGTTTTAATTTTCCCTTGATTTAAGTTGATAGTAAATTAATTGGAACATGCGTTCCAGATTTCTATTAAAAGAAAATAATTTTTTGTTTAACACTTTAAAGATGTTATTATTGATTTTTAACATTATGAAATTATTAATTAATGTAGAAAAATAATCTTCAATTTAATAAGAATGACAAATGGAATACTAGAGAAAGCCTTTTTATTTCAACAATTATCATATTGTGGGCTACCTTAAAACTGTCATAAAACACTACTTCAGGGGAAAAGAAATAGTCTGCAAAAAATCATTTCTAATGCTATTATTCAATTTATTAATTAATCAATTATACAATTCTTAAAAAACTATATTTTATTAAAACAAAATGCTATTACTATAGATCAATGTATGGAAAGAAATACATTTAAACTATTATGATTAATTACAATATTTTAATGTTTATAAATTAAATTAATAGAAAATAATCTTGAGTGCTTATTTTCAAATAAATAGTACAAAAAAAAAAAAAAATAGTTTTCATAGCATATTTTTAAAAAATTAAGTATATATGATATGATATGTTTAAGTATATACATATAAATGTATTTATGTCTCAGCTCCCAAAATCTGATTATTATAATCTACACTACCACTACTCAGATTTCAGAAACCTAGGACAAAAACTAAATATGGGGCTCCATGTTCAAAAAATGTTCTCCATTGAACTCTGTAATTTTAGTGCTCTTTTAATTTTTTGTGAAACATTTTTAAAATTACTAAATCCTTTATAATTTTGGGTGATCTAAATAATAAAAGTATACCTCATAGCTAAATTAAATACATAACACCTAAAATCTATATATTTTAATAATACCAATACATACAATAATAATTGTTTATTACTTTATATTAATATTAAGATTATTATCTCGTATGATATTCTTAAATGCAACTAATGAAATTACCATCACACAATTATTTTTATAATTAATATTTTTGGAAATTTTTGAAAAAAGCAATTTTTAAGGGTCTTCCAAAATTTTAACATAGGCATTGCAACAGCTGCCCTTGTAGTTATTGTGACAGGGATAATTTAATAGACCCAGATTGCTAGGAGGCAATCTCATCTGCCACGGATATCATTTTGTGACCTTACAAATTTTTTTTTAACTAACAGTGTTTTAAGTCAAATGTCTTAAAGCTACACTAAATAGACTTGATCAAAGAGGACAAAGCAACATCATATAAATATAACATTAAGATAAGTGTATAATTTTGTGCAAATAAAACTTCAGTTTAACCACTATAAAATTAATATATAAATTCAAAATTTATATTAAACAATATTTTTTAGTGTTTACTTCAATTATTTATCAATAAATGGGTTAGTATATCATGTACAAAATATTTAATTAATTTAACAGTTTATTAATGTAAAATCTTTAACTTATTTAAAATAAAGGGTCTCAATTATTTAAGAGACTAAGAAATTGGGGATTATGTATGGTCACCGGGTAGATTTGTGAAAATGCTCTTGACTGAGTACTGGGGGACTTGGGTTTGATTTTCAGTTCACTGGAATATTTCTTCGTCAGTTTCCGAGTTTCTAATACAAGATTTTTGTATTGATTAATTTTCTTCAGTTATAAGATAATGTAATTAAAAAATAAAAAACTACATTGATACAAATATCAATTATGAGATACTATATCAACTAATATACTTTAAGAAAACTTTTTTTAGATGCCCACATTTGTCAATAAAAGATTCAAATCTAAATACTGTTGCATTCATTACACCACAGCTAACATTTTACTTCTAGTAATGATTGGAGATCATTAAATAGATAACTTAGGTTATTTCCTTAAAGTTTACTATTTGTAAGTGAAACTCGACATTGTTTTACATTGACTAGTCCAGAAAGCTATATTTTTTTTTACTTAAAAATTCTATTTGGTTAAAAAGTCCACTGGTTTTTAGGTATTTACATAATTTTATTATTATTTTTTTTTTTGAATAACTAAACAATTGATATAGTTTTAAGAAACGTTATAACTCAAAATTATAAGTCTGGGCACATAGATGAAAGTTAAAAAATAATGCTACTAAAATATTTATTATTATTTTTTATTTCATAGCTAATGGATAATATTAATCTATTAGCATATGGTAGATAGCAAAAATTTCTGTATGAAATAATTTTAAATTTTCTTAACTTTTAGTAACCATTTTCTCACATACTTGTAAAAAATAAATATTAACTGTAAGAAATTATATAAATGGAAAATATTTGAATAATACAAAACACGGATTTTAAAAAGAAGAGACTGTTAAAATATTTATTAAATGTTTTAGAACATACATTTTCAATAATGAAAATCAACAATACTCATGACATTGGAGTGAAATTTAAATAATAAAAAAAAATTACCTCAGTATTTCTTGGGATTGAAAACCCGGTTCCTCGAATTGAAACGATAACAGTGAAACGAAAGCTACGCACTATCGCGAATCGTTGAGATACACGCTTTTATTCTGCTATAGCACAAATTAAATTTTTTATTTCAAACAATTGAGAAAACTAATACATAATGTGCGTGAAACTAGCAATTTTTTTGTCAGCAATATTGATAACACATTTACTCATAACTGGTCATGGTATAAGTATGGTATAATTATTATAAACCGCTAGAGGTCGTCATGTATATCTTAATTTGATAACTATTTTATTACTTTAATGTATCAATATGTAATTGGCACCGTTAAATTTAAACTCTTCAATAATACTTAAATTGACTACTTCTTACTTCTTACTAGTTTTCGCTTTTTAAAATACCAACTCATATTATCTTCATTTACATAATTACTGAGTACGCCTAAATTTTATAAATTCTTATATATGCCTGGTTTAAGAAGACAAGCTGTGTTTTTATTAAAAAGCATTACATTTTTATCATAAGTTTTGATAGTAAGAATTATGACATTTGATGACGGAAATTCTTATTAAAGTAACACATTGATGAGAATGGGTGCATAAAATGTTCAATTAACATTTGAACTTATTTTAATTATTAATATGTATATATATGATAATATTAATATTTCTGATAATAAACTACCGATATTAAAAATAAAAGAAAAAAATTTTCAGTCAACTCTATGTTGACAATATTTAAATTCTTAATATTGAAATTTGACCGAAAAATTAATGGAGGGCTAATGTCTTTGCCCACGAACGGCTATCGCTATGTACAGTTTTGAATAATAGCAGTTTTCTCCTCTATTCATCATCGCGTTCTGTCTTGTAAATAAATAGCCTCTATAATAACTACGAATACAAAAGAAATTTAATGACGACCCTAATCTATACATAAATATATATAATTTCTTAGTAAAAAACATTTTTTCTAAATTATTATCCTTTTATTTTTTTTTTAGTTTTTATTATGAAAAATAATTATTTTAATCAATTAAAAATTTATTTAATTACAAAAACTAAATTACTTATTTTATTTTTTTAATTGTAATATGTTACTAATGCTAAATACCAAAATATACTACTTAATGTTAAAAGAAATGTAAATACATTTTCTCTAACATGGAATATATTAACTTATTTGTATTATGACTAATACATTGGCGATGGAGAAATTATTTGCTTCTCAATTATCTTTTTTTGTAAATTTATTATACTTTTAAGCACACATACTAATTTTTATTTTCATACTAAATTATACTTAATGTTTGTAGAGGAAAACCTACAAGGTGTAAACAATTTATCTCGTGGTAGGTTAGTTGGTTGAAGTAAGTTTGCAAAGTATTTTAAAGTAAATTTATACATAGTTTTATATTTATTATTTATGATCAATAAGAAATATTTGAAAAAATTTAATATTTCAACTAATAATATTTACATTTGATGAAATTTATTTTATAATATTATTATAATTTTGTAAATTTTGTCGAAATTCACTTTATTTTCAAATATTCTATTCCGTAAATAGAACTTTGTGTTTAGAAAATTGTATAAGATAAAAAAAATAAGTTAAATGTATTAAAATCCGGATTCTAAAAAAAATGATATATATATATATATACACCCTTTTCCACTGATCAAATAGTATCTCATTCAAAAAGATGTGAAATATATTAAAGACTGGATACTTTATTTTTAATTTCCCGCGCTTTCGGCTTGTATACTTTTCAAACAAGGATGTAGAATGCACTATCACGATTACATGAAAATCATGAACAGTCATAGTAATATGACTTTCTTATTTGATTTACCATTTGACATCTACTATCACTGATTGTTTGTTGATACACATTGATGGATATTGTCCAGATATTTATTATATATTTTTTATGTAATCTATTTTCAACAACCACAAAATTTCAAGTTCACTTATGGCTAAGACTGGTTTGTTAATTTGTTCAAATCTTCATGGTTTGTTTCGATCATTTCCACAAATTCAACGTGATATACAAAATACATTGTATGTTCATTTCTTCCTCAATCCAGTACAAGACAGAAACGCTTTAAGAAATAAGTATACAATTATAAACGCATATAAACATTTAAACCCATTACAAATTGATGTACGCGTACTCTTGTGTGGCATCAAAAACAACACTAATTCTGCTATTGTTACTAAACGTCCTGTTGACATAATTTATTATGATGATCATATTCAAACTGATCAAATAGCAAATTTAGTATCTTTATTGATCAATAAATCCCCAAATTTTATAACAATACCTATTCAAACCACTTTAAATAGTAATGTATCCAAATTTAAAGAAGAAATTTGTGATACTGTGGATAATAACCTTTATGAAAATGTTGTTATGGGTGGAACTTTTGATAGGCTCCATAAAGGTCATAAAATATTATTAAGTACAGCAGCTCTAAAATGTACAAGAAAATTAACAGTTGGTGTCACTGACACTTCAATGTTACAATGTGAGTTAACATTATTACAACACATCATTTTATAAAAATAGTACACATTTTGCAGCTAAAAGATTATGGGAATTAATAGAACCATGCGATATTAGGATTAAACATGTTGAAGGGTTTTTAAAGGATATTGATCCATCTTTAGAGTATAATGTTTTACCTATTTATGATATATATGGTCCTACGATTCACGATCCAAAATTTCAGGTAATGTGCTTAGATTTACATGTACATATATGTGTGTAATTTATATTTTATTTAGATGATTGTTGTTAGCCAAGAAACTAGTAAAGGGGGAGATATGATCAATAATAAAAGAGTTGATGCAGGTTTACAACCCCTTGATATATTACCTATACCATTATTAGTTGAAGATAAAACACTATTTAATTGCTGTGAAGAGGAAGAGAATAAAATAAGTTCGAGTAATTATCGTATGAGATTGTTGGGTACTCTTATAAGACCACCAAAAGTATGAAATTATATATATACCTATGCTTATTATTATTATGATGAAGTAATATTTTTCTACTTTTGTTTAGCTAAATAATAAATCTCCATATATTATTGGACTCACGGGTGGGATTGCAAGTGGTAAATCATCAATAGCAAATTATTTAAAAGATAACGGTGCTTTTATTATTAATGCTGATACTCAAGCACATAACTTGTATAATATAAATCAGCCTGCCTACAAACCTGTTATAGATGCTTTTGGCTTGGAAATACTAAATGAGAATAAAGAAATTGATAGGAAAAAATTGGGTGCTATTGTTTTTAGTAGTAAAGTAAGTAGAAGACTTACAAATTTTATTTGTATACCATGTTAACATATTTTAAATATTTTAGGATGAACTTAAAAAGTTAAACAATATCATGTGGCCACTAATTTTAGAAAAAATAAATAATGTGATACAATCAACTAAGAATTATGACATATTTGTAATAGAAGCTGCTGTTCTTTTAATGGCTAATTGGCAAAGTCATTGTCATGAAATATGGGTAACAATTATACCACTTGATGAGGTAATATTGATTTAAAGATTAATTTAATAAGATAGTGTCATAGGGATAGCTAAATAAAAATAAGTACTTTTACCTTATAATTTAATAAAAATATTTAACTATCTAATTATAACTATTTTTCATAAGTATGACAATGTTATATTCTCATAAAAATAATTTGAATGAATATCGGACTAAATCTGAAAAAAAAAGTACATTCTGAAATATATTGCTAGCTAATTGATATTTCATCTTTTTTATGAATTTACCGGTTTTGTGTATATTGTATTTTAAAATACATTTTAATTGTCTAGGCCATTGCAAGATTACAAACTCGGAATAACCTTAGTCGAGAGGAAGCACTTAAACGAATTAATTCTCAGCCCTCAAATAGTGAATATGTTGCAAGGGCTAATGTTTTGTTTTCAACATTATGGAGTTATAACTGCACTAAAATTCAGTTGAATAAAGCATGGAATAATCTTATTAATAGATTATCAAACTGATTATTTGTTAACAATTGTATAATTTATTGTCTATTAAATTTTTTTAGTGATATTTTATAGATTTTATTAAATACTTAATAATTTTTATAATAAAATGAAATTAATGGTGGGGATAAAGTATGTTATATTTAATTTATTGTAAACTGATTTTAAATGTATTTAATAAAATAATTTTTTAAATGCGTATTTAATAGATATAATAGTTATATTAGATATATTATATTCATATATCAGTGCTTTATCGATATCTAGCTTATTTTTTACTGAATATTTTTAACTAAGCAGCCTACATTTTAAATGGATAGCGATTTAATTTTGTTAATAAAATAATTATATTTTTTGTTTTTTTAAGTACTTTTAAAAAACTTATTATTGAAGCCCTTTTTTTCTAGATTTTTATATAAATCATTGTCATTTATCAAATTACAATAAAAACTTAGCGTACTATTTTATTAATTCTCATGGAGATTCCAGGTTGATAAATTGCTCTTGATACCCTTAAAACGTGTTAAAGGAAATTTTTATTTATTTAAAATTTATATAGAAAGTATTAGAAAAATAAAAACAAATGTATACAATATGTATAAAATCTAAACTAAAAAAATTTAGTTATTATGATAGTATTAATTTTAGCTTCGATGCGAACATGAGAAGGTATTAATTTTACTATAATGTGTTTTTTTATTTTTTTGTGTCTGTGAACGCTCAATCTCAGCTCTCGCTGGACCGATTTTGATGAACAATATATCAAAAGATCACAAATCGTATCTAGTCGAAGACATTACCCTCAAAAATTGAAAAAAATTTCCTGGTTCCCCGTAAACGAGGGAAATCCCCCAAAAAATTTCATATTTAAAAATCGCTAATTTTCGATATTTTTTCAATTTTTTTTCTTAAAAGTGCCATAACTTTTTTAAAAATGATCGAATCAATATAATTTTTTTTTTTATAAATACCTTAGATATTTACCTATAATTTTATATATTTTTGTGAACATTTGACCCTTTAACAGCCCACAGGAAGGGTTTCAAAATGGTAACTTTTTTACAAAAAATTAACTTTTGAAAGTATTCCAGAAAGACTCACTTTTATATATGTATCTTAAATTAAAGCTAATGTAATATATTTTAATTTAAAAAAAAAAAAATTTGACCTCTGGACTTGTCTTCATGGTGAAAATTACTACCGTATGCAAAAATATGCTATTTTTTTGAAAAAATTCTTGATATTATATTTTACATTTTTTAACATTATGATGCTATAACTTTTTAAAAAATGCATGAATCAATTCTATTCTTTAACAATAAATACTTTATATATACCTCTTTCATTCGACATACTTTTTTTTTAAATCGGACCTTTTCCCTTTATACAGGGGGGGTGCTAACATTTTAAAATGCGTATAGAAAGTAGAACTTTTTCAACTTAACTTTTGAAAATGTTCCGGAAAGACTGACACTTTTATATATATCTTAAATTAAAGCTTATGTAATATACTTTAATTTGAAAAAAAAAAATTTGACCTCTGGATTTGTCTTCATGGTAAAAATGACTACCGTATGCAAAAATATGCTATTTTTGTGTTAAAATTCTGGGTTTTGTATTTTATTTTATTTTAAAATACCTGACAAGGGGAGTACAGATTTTCATAAATATTATATAAATTAAAATTGATATAGTATAGATAGTTAAACTTATTTAAATATGTTTGTTTCTTTTAAGTCGAGAAAAATAACTTTGAAATTTGAACTAGCTTAAATAGCCAATTTTTCAACCGCCGGAAGCAACGTACGGTTGCCGAGTTGGTAAAATTTATGTTTTACACGCTTGGGGTACGAGGTTCCAACCCGCATATGGCAATGAATTTTTTGCATTTTTTCTTAATTCTTTTTAAGTTAGTATAAATTTTAACTCGTTTGATTTTTATCACATTTAGATTCAATAACTTCAATAAAGATCAAGGATCCCATCACTTTAGTCGCCCCTTGCAAGAAGAAATTTCTTATTCGTATTAAAATTATTTTACTATATTTTAAGTTTTCGCTTCGATGCAAAGCCGAGAAGATATTTTTTTGTGACTATCATTTATTTTCTCTGCTCTAACTTGACCTACTTTTTTCAACAATACGTCAAATTACTACAATTCGTATCTAGTTGAAGATATTACTCTCAAAAATTGAAAAAAAAATTCTAATTTATCAATTAAACAGTTAGTTATTACATCGTCTCCATAAAGACAATTAAAATCATTAATTTCTAATGTTTTCAAAATATTTATTAACGAATGAAGTTTGATATGATAGGTTTCAACTACAAAATTAAATCATTTTACTTTGTAATTTAATAATTTTTTTACTCTATTTGTGTGTGCTACTACTAGACTATAATATTACAATTTTTTTTTGTAACATGTTGCTATATAAATCATTTCTAAAAAAAATGATTGTTTTTTCTCCTGAATTAACAATTGATTTTTACAAATATAATCAAATTTTATAATACACTCAATTGAGTAAATCTTTTTAACAACTTTGTTTTGATTGGTACATTTAGTTAAAGTAAATCATTAAAATTAATTAAGTTCTCAATATTTCAATTATAGAATCTTTTCAACAAACAACAAAAGTTCCTAGGAAATTATTACTATTACTTCTATTTAAGTTATCTATTACCATAAAAATGCAAAAAAATATTGAGCTTTTCTGATAAATTTACAATAAATAGTAATTATAAAACTTTCTGACTGCATATTGATCTTAACGATACAATTTTTTTAATTGTCATAAAATTTTCTATTTAATTATGTCAATGTCAAACTTACCAATTGAGCTAAAAGTTATGGTAAAATAAATTTTTTTTTTTTATTATAAACATTTACAACAATCAACTTTAAACGATTAACAAAATAGGTTAAATATGTCATTTTCCTTATTTTTAACTTATTAATAATCAAATTAATATTAAATATTATATCAAATCAGTATTAATTTAAAACAATTTTTTTTGTTCTTAATTATTTTTTTTTATATGTAAAAACTATTTTTTAATAATATTAAAACTTAGAAGTTATAGAAAAAGTCTAATTGCACATTTTAAAACATCGCGAAAAGTTGATTTAGAATAGTATATTTTTGTTTCTGATGGAAGTTCCTTGTAGTCCAGTGTATAAAACTTATAACTTTGTTAATTGTTATAACTTTATCAAAAATGACCAAATCAGTATATTTTTTTTTATTTAGATGCATGTCTTTATCTATCATTTGGTTTTTTTTATAAATCTAACCCTTTACCTGCCCACAAGAGGGATTCAAAATATTAACTTTTTTTTTTTTAGTTAAAGTAAATCATTAAAATTAATTCAGTTCTGGATATTTCAATAGTAGAATCTTTTTAAATATCAAAAATTACTTAGAAATGATTACTATGATTTCTATTTAAGTGTTCTATTACGATAAAAATGCAAAAAATAATGAGTTTTTCTGATAAATTTACAATAAATAGTAATTATAAAACTTTCTGACTGCATATTAATCTTAAAAATAACATTGTTTTAATTCTCATAAAATTTTCTATTTAATGATTCATTCTAGTCAACGAAGGATTAATTTTGGAGAATAGCAGAAAAAATTCTCAACCAATTTTTTTTTCTTTGTTTTAATTAGGAAATTGGTGGATTATTCCAAAAGCAACATCAACTCTTATTTCTTTAATTATATCCTGATTAGTAGTTCTTTGATTTTAAAATATAATATATGAATAAATACTAATTATAATTATTAAATTTAGTATGAAATTGATATTCAATAATTTAATATTGTAATTTAAACGGAGAAATTATAAAAATAATAAAGAAGTTGTATTTTGCTTTATTTTTACGTGTATAAAAATTTAAAGGGCTTGATACAATAATTATCAATAAAAACTGTTTGTTACTATAAATGAATGCACTGGACTTCAAGGAACTTTCATCAGAAGCAAAAATATACTTTTCTAAATCAAAGTTTCGCGTTGTTTTCAAATCTGCAATTAGACTTTATCTATCAGTTCTAATTTTTTATATTATTACTAATTACATATAAAAAATAATTAAAAGAAAAAAAAATTGTTTTCAAATTATTACTGATTTGATTTTTAATATGTTAACAATAATCAGTCCAAATTTTCATTTTTAACCTATTTTTTTGGTTCTTTAAAATTGATGAAAAATTTTTTATAAAGATTTATGAAAGTTTATAGCAAAAAAAATTGAATATATTACCATAACTTTTAGCTCAATTACAAGTTTAAAATTGACATCTAGGCCAGTCAACAAAGGAAAAATTTCTTAAAAAATTCCCAACCAAATTTTGTCTTATTAATAGTTGAATTAAAATATGTATAATGACATACTAATAGTCCTCATTCATTGAAATTGAGCTTTTTTTGGAGAATTTTGGAGAATAGCAGAAAAAATTACCAACCAATTTTTTTTTTAATAGAGAATTGGTGGATTATTCCAAAAGCAACCTTATACACCCAAAGAAAAACCTCAATTAAAATTGAAAGAGAAATTTTATCAAGGGTTTATGATAATGTTTTATTAATACGAACAAAATAATTATTCTTATAAATAATTATTGTTCAAGACAAGAAAAAAAAATATCATATTGATAAATAAATCATTGATTCAATAGTAATGATATATTTATCAAATTGAACAATGAATTTATTATATAGATCGAGGTTTTTCTCTGAGTGTATCCTGATTAGTAGTTCTTTGATTTTAAAATATAGTATATGAATAAATACTAATTATAATTATTAAATTTAGTATGAAATTGATATTCAATAATTTACTATTGTAATTTTAACGGAGAAATTATAAAAATAATAAAGAAGTTATATTTTGCTTTACTTTTACGTGTATAAAAATTTAAAGAGCTTGATACAATAATTTTCAATAAAAACTGTTTGTTACTATAAA